TAATAATTTATAAATTATCAAGGGCTCATGAGGGAGGGGGGAGCGGGGAGAGAGGGGAAAAAATGAGGAGCTGATGCCAGTGGCCTAAGTGGAGAGCAAATGTTTTGAGAATGATGAGAGCAATGAATATACAAATCTGCTTTACACAATTGATGTGTGGATTGTGAGAAGAGTTGGATGAGCCCCTAATAAAACGATTTTAAAAAAAAACAAAACTGGAATTTCCACCTCCAACCCCCTAAAGCCGTTTGTTTGTTTTACAAAACAACCTTATCACACCTTCAAAACACTCTCCAATTGTACCTAATATGTTTGTCAAATTTGCGATTCCATTCCTGGTAACGTTTTTTTCAAACTCATCTTGTTTAGATGGCTGAGGGCGCCTCCCTCGTTTTTTCCTTCCCCTCTTTTGTAGTCAAATCACTGTCAAAAACTGGTGCAGAGATGGCTGCCTGAGCAGGTGCGTTGTCGTGGTAGCAAAACCAGTCTCCCCGCCTGCCACAAACCAGGCCTTTTTTGTCGTGCAATGTTACGCGATCTTTCAGAACCGCTAACTAAAATGCTTGATGAACAGTCTGCCCTGGTGAACAGCCCCCAAACGCACTATGGGTCGACATTTTCATCTGTTTGGGAAGTTGACGGATGTCCAGAACGAGGTTTGTCATCAATGGAAATTTCACTTTTGAAATGAGAAAACCATTCCTACACTTGAGTTTTTTCCATAGTGGTTATAAGCTGTGTTCAACATCACAACAGTTTCTGCGGCATTTTTCCCTGAGCAGGAAACAAAATTTCACCGCCGCACACTGTTCTCTTAAATCGGCCATCACAAAAACACGAAGTTTGAGCGAAACTGCTTTCATGAAAAAATCCACCGTGGCAGAGAACCTGCTAGGCCCCAGCACAGGGTACAAGCTGCTCGGTCTTTGCCTGGGGCCAAAGGCGCACTACAAAAGTTCTGCCCCGGGGAGCTTTTTGGTTTTCGCCCCCTTTGGTACAGCAAGGCCAGCAGGTCCGTCGCACCAGCCGTTTCATGGGAGCCGAGGCTGTGTGCCCCCACGGATCGGCAGCCTCGGAAGCCCAAAGGGGACGTTTCGCTCTGTTCTGTGGGGTTGCTATGAACCAGAACCAGCTCGATGGCAGAGGGGGGCTTGGCGACACTGGATGGAGGCCCTTCCTGAAAGAGAAACTATGGAGAACGAAGTCACAGGTGCTCCTAGCTACACTGAAGTGAAACACACGTTAAAGTGCCCTCGTGAGTCCTGTGAGTCCAACCAGGGCTCGAGATGGCACCCCCACCCAGAGGAAACTCCAAGCGCGAGGGCCCGCCCAGCAGCGCCCTCCCCACTCAGGACTGACCCAGGAGACCAGTGAGGTGAAGAGGCTGTCGGTAACCTGTTGGCAAGTTTTATGCCGCAGCAGCACCAGAACATCGACCCTCATGTGGAGAATCCATTATCAAAGGTCCTTGTGTCTTTGTTAAAGCCGTTTGGAAACAAACGGTGTACAAGTATTCCAGAAGTTGGGAAAAATTCAGGGCTTGGAGATGAGTTTCTTGAAATCACTGAGACAGTAGTGGCCCCAGGGAAGCAGTGAAACAGACAATATGAGACGGAGTAGAGGCGGGAAGTGCAGACTCCACAGCCTCTCCAGTAAGTGGGAAATTCCTCGGGTAGAAGGAAGCACGTCTCCCGGTTAAGCAAATGGAATATTCCGTGGCTAAAATGACTTTGATCCTCCCTCTTGTCCTCCCCTTACATTTTTATTCTCCCTGAGCAAACAGCCTCCTCTGGAAGGTGCATGTGGGCTCCGAGGGACATGCCTGTGGCGTGCAAGCAGGAGAAGGCAAGCTTCTGGCACCATCACAGGACGGCAGGCAGACCCGGGGCCGGCCGGCTTCACCGTGACCTCCAGCTCCAAGCACATAGCAGGCCAGTGTTCCGCAGCCAGGTGGAGAGAGCCGCTCCCTTCATCCCCAGGCCTTGCAAACCTGCCTGCTCGGAGCTTCTCCAGGCTGAGAGGGACCGCTGAGGGCAAACCCCCACCTCCTCCACGAAGGCGAGCAGAGGCAGCTCGGACACAGCACAACCAGGTTTTATTTAAGTTCTTTATTTTCCTCCACGCTGGCAAAAGTTCCGAGGAAGCTTAAAGTTTTGTAAACATTTTAACTATCCCTCTTTCCCACCCCCCACGTTTGAATGTACAAAGCAAAGGAGATCGGAGTCCCACTGTGGAACGGTGTCCCGTCTCCTCATGCTATTTGATCCAAAAACTATATACACGTGGTAGCAGTCTCTGTATAGTTATTGTACATGTTTAAGAGGGGTGGGAGGCCAGAAGGGATAGGGAGGATGGTAAGTAATCCAAAATAAGAAAAACAGAAGCCAACTTGAAATCATCCCAAACCAAACTGCCCTCAGCTCCTCCCAGCACCCCCACTTTCAGGCGCCGAGGACAGGAAGAGAGGTACTGTGGGGCCGGCCGACCACCAACAGTCACCCGGGGCCTCCAATCCTAGGAGGACTGGCCATGCCGGGGGTGCTCTGTAGGGGCTGGTGGAGGCAGGAGGAGCATCTGATCATAAATAAGCTGTGGCATCGATTTCTACCCAAGGTGAGGGGGAGTGGGGGTGGTAGGAGGCCGAGTGCCGAAGCCAGAGCACAGTGGGGCGGGCTTCTGGTCTCGCCATCTCCCCTGCCCTCCACGCTCTGCCTTCCCTGCATAGTGGTTTCCACGGATAAAGATGGTGAAAGGTGGTTCGGTTTTGCACGCTTTGTAGAAAAGGCAAACAACTGCCATTCCAGAATCTTTCAGCAAAACCTGCTGGGGGCCACCGCCAGACACACGCACAACGATCTGAGGAAGCAGATGAAATTCCGGGCTTTTATCAGAAGAGTTTATCCCTATCCAAAATGAAATTATACAAATTCACACATATGGTAAAGATCCTAGCTGCCTCTTAAACGAGACAAAATTTCAGCAGAAGGGCCCAAAACAAACTGGTCCTAGTCCTCTGAATAAAATATTTATGGAAAAAAATCAGTTTTGTAAGAAAGGAAAAGTAAGAAGAAGTCTCTCTCCCAGGCCACAGGGTTTCTTTGTCCAGGCAGGTGAGTGCACACCAGGGCGGCGGTCACCACCTAGTGGAGAAGAACGTGAAGCCTTTCCTTCTCCGGCGCGGCTCAGGGAGGACAGGCAGGGTGCGACGTCAGGGGGCCTCTCCGATGCAATACCAAAGGGAGCTGTGGCCACACACCCACTGACCATGAACCTCTCTCTTCAAGACTGCAGTCAGACCCTTGCCTGGGGGTGTGGGGGGGGGTGGGGGTGGTGGTGAAGGTGAGCTGCTATGGGCAAGACCCCCCTCTTGGGACAAGTTGTGGAAATCACGGCACAGGAAACACGTGCTGCCCAAACCAGCCTTGTTGGGGAGCCGCCCGACAGTCCCCGCCCCGAGACGAGACAGAGTCCGCCCCAGGGGCGACAGTCGGAGACACTCGCCAACAAAGACGGTTTCAGGAATCCTGGACAAAATGGCGAGGAGGAGCCGCCTGAGAGGAAGTGCTCTGTGGCTGGTGGCAGAGAGATTAGAGTGGCGGGTGAGTGCATGTGGTGTCCAGAGGTGGAGGGTCCATGGTCAGCAGACGGAGAGGAAGGCCAATCCCAGCAGGTGCTCAGTAGTCGTCCAGGGTCTCAATCTCACCCATATTCAGTCGCTCCGATGACGCATTGACAGAAAAACCTGCAGGGACAGGCTGTTAGTGACCGGAACAGACAACCTGGAAGTTCAAATTCCAGTGAGCAGCTGTGCTCTATTTGGGGGGGGG